AGTGTTTGCGGGTTGGGAAACCCATTTCCCATCTGACTCCAGTATGTTTCCTGTTAAATGTGTCTGCTTTAAACCCAGTCACTTCCAACTGTTGCTGCCTCGTAGCCCAGCATCCCAATCTGGGAAAAACTTTTGTACAAATTGACATTCTCCAGATGACAATATAGAACACCCTGGTGCCTCCTCCCTGACAAAGTGAAGATAATATACATTTCCAATTAGTGGGACACATTCTAGTCATGTTCTCTTTTTACTCCCTAACTATCTTTGTTTTGCTAAAAAGCTGTTCGGTCATTAATGAAATCCTGCAGTTCTGCTAATCCTAGATACAATGCAGCTTTTCTCTAGCAAGCTATCCCTGACATAAAACTACAGTTACCCAAGCTCCCCACCACATTAAGATTCGTTGTCATTTGCCTTTCATTACATACCTGATGTAGCACAGTAGCAGTCAAATGTCCTTGGCAGGCAAAGCAAAGTATTTAATTGTATTAGTTTCCGCTTGCTCCGCCTTAGGATTTCCCCCCCCCCCCCTCCTTGGGGGCTGGGTTTTGGGGGGGGGAATACTGTATCATGGAAACTTATACTTTTTGGTTGGGCATAAATGTAATTATCCTTAAATTCTCAAAGCAGTCTTGCGCCGCTGCCACCCCCTCCCCAGCAGCACTGTATTGCCAGTGCCATATGAAATGCCGCTCCGTAGAGGCGAACAATGAGGCATTCATCAAAGGGAGCTAGTGATTAGATGTTTTTCATTTTCAGAACTTTAAGAGATAAATAGGAGCCCTGTTCCTTTATTTGATGTACAGTGCTGTTGGGATTCAATTAATCTCTACTGATAAATACCAAATTTCTGCAATACTATTTCGGAAGAAAGAGTGTCACATAGAATGTTGACTTCAATTCCTCAGAATACGAGCACTGGTTTTCAATAAAGAAATATATTAAAGAAGGCTTGGTTGGCTCTGAGGCCGGGAGCAGGGGTAAGAAGCTGTACAGCTTTCCCACTGAAGAGCCTTGTGTTTTCCCAATGTTTCCCTTCAAAAAAGAAGGGAAAAAAAAGGACATTGGATGGAATAATGAGCAAAATGTTAAAAACGCTGGCTGAAGCTTCAGGAGATCTGCATTCTGTGAAATGTGAAATTACGCAGTCTCTTGATGCAGGCGTCTCCCCGCCTCTTAAGGGAAGTTAGCATTTTCCTTCATCGAGATGCTGGGAAGACTTTGTCTTGTTTTGTTCTTTGACTCTTTTGAAATGCTCGGGTACTAGTGAGATCCGTGCAAGAGGAATATCGTGGATCAATCCCGTTACACCCTTCATCTCTGTGGCATGCACGTGAATATGCAAAATGCACCAAAAGGGAGCTGTCGCCGGCAAGCTCTGCTAGGGCCCATGAAAAATGAATTGCTGCTTTCGGCCCTGAAAGCACAGCCGGGCTGGCGTGTCTGTGCTACGAACACGGCCTCTGCAATTGCTAATAATTTACCCGCCTAGTCCCATTGACAATTTTATTAATAAGATCAATGGCCAAACAGGCAGCAAACACTGAACGTGCGTCTTGTCGTTGCTGGAGAAAATGAGGGGTATTGATGGGGGAGGTTTGTGTTGCTGCTGCTGCTGCTCTGTGCATTATCAGTGGGTAGACCAAGAAAATAGGCCGGGTTTGATCAATAGGCTTCTCTTCATGAGCATCAAATCTACTCATAAGGAAGGGCCAGCTTGATTAAAAAGTAGTAACTAATTTGAATAGGTCAGGCTTGAACTTAATCTAAAGAATAGTTATCTTTGCTGTTGGCAGCCAAGTCCAAGGCTCAGGGCATGCAGTATATTGTCACCCAGAAAGGCTACTGGATGCTGTCATGGGCCCCTGGGTGGATTTGCTGCTCCATCTATTTGCCCAGAGCAAAGAGCTGGACCCTTCAACTGGTGTAGCCTCGTGGGGCAATTTCTGCAGTTCAAGTCTAGCTCAAAACAGTCCCACACACCAAAGACTGTGCACATATTTTAAAGACTGCGGCTTAAATTGCTACCAATTTTTGCTTCTATTTAGGATTTTTATCATGATTGCATTTCGCTGCTAGAATTTCTAATCTTTCTTTTTTCCCCTAGGATTATTATTTAGTAGCGCTARAACTGCTTTGTTTGTATGTTTTGCTATAAAATGAGCAGCCATTTATTTAGACTGGAACACAYTGTAATGGTATGTCGAAAGATTTAACAAATGGTGTTCATTAAGGGTTTGATCCTCCTCCCATTTACCTCCTGCCACTGATTTTACTAGAGCAGAATCAGATACTGATCAAATCTGAGCTTACTGCTAAGGAAAAGGTAGGGATTTATAGTCCAGTGCTGATCTGCAGCCGGTTTCCACAGCACTGCAAAAATAGCAGGGGACAAGTGGCAGCTGTACCCATGAAATGAGAAACGTTTTGGGCACAAATCTTCTTTTAAAGGCTGCAACAGCTCTTTCGTAGCTTCCAGGTCTGATATTGGGCTTCTTGAGGACAGCAGGAATCTTGCAAATGATTTCAAGTGCTTTGAATCAAGTCTTAAACCAAACTGTTCATAAAAAGTCTACAACTACAGATAGCAAAGGACAAGGAGGTCATTCATTTAAAAAAAAAAAAGGGTGTGTGTGTGGATTTTCTATGTTTCTGATAGTTTTATCAGATTCTTTCTGAATGCAGCTCAGTTTGTATTATCTGTAAGATTTTATGTCACTGCAATATCTCAAGCCGCACCAGTAGCGAGATCTCATAATATATCCTTAACACAAAACATGTAGAGAGTTTGGGAAGGTTTAGTCTCTGGATTAACTGGGTGGAAAATGTCTTTGATTGTATCTACAGATGGCCCACAACACAGGAGAGGAATCTAGAGAAAAAATCAGAATCTCTTTGTCTATTCAACTTCATTATGCTTTCCAAATTTCTGAAGAGAAACAATATTGTATAAATGAGAGGAGGGACAGAGAATTATGATTTTACATATTTTCCTCATTCCTATTCATGTTCTTCTAATTTTCCCAAATARAAAACATAAAATGCGTTTTTCATTTGAAAGAATGGGATTGTGAAGAGCTTCAAATCCTTTCTAATTGTAGCTCTATGGGAGAAACTAGGACTTCAAGGAATCCCCAGCAAACCACCTTGCAAATAGCATGAAAATATCAGACACCCAACTTTGAATTTCAAGGAATGGGAAGTAGCAATTTTGTCATGCTGGATTTCTGATTTGTTTTGTTTTTCTCCATGAGATTWCTCCTTAGGAGGAGTTGGATTCATGATGTACTGGGATGATATTCCTGAACATTKGGTGTCGTGATAATTCGTGGTCCTTTATGTCAAGCTACGCTTCATTATGACTACAATCAAAATCAAAACAGAGTTTGGAGGGAGCTGGGTGTGCAGGAAGAAGGCGTAAAAGCGATATTGTCACCTAGTTAGGAACAGTCTATCTTACTGTTTGAGAGGGTATTATCATATTAAAGCCCAGTATTATTATCAAGAAACTAAATTCTCCATATGACGTATTTAGCTGTCTGGGCCAAATTTATTGTTGGTAGAAAGCCGCCTGAGCATGTAATTATGTTCCAGTTGAAGTAGGCCCACTGCTCCAACCAGGACTGCCACCAATGACTCTCCTGCACAGAGAAGCAGAAGCAATGAGATATCTGTATGCAAACACTGTTCTGGGTGCTCATGGAGAATATTAATAAGATGTCTAGAACGATTTTCATTTCATTTCGGTAGCCCATATAGCAAAGGGTCACCCTTCCATGACAGAATATTTACCAGTGCAAAGACGTCTCGGCTTTGTGGGAAAATGAAAAACTAGACCCGCCACAGCAATTGCAGAGGAAATCTGCAGCATGTATTTGTAGCACATTAATAACATGACTAGTGACCTTTCCAAAGACAAGAAATGTGTAGAATTGATTGTCCTAGCCAGGAGCTGTGCAGTACTATAGATCAGTTATTTTCAGGCTCCTTTTTGCTGTGGTCACGTCTTTGGCCAGTGCAAACTCAGTGTGGGTATGGTTTAGGCTGGATAAATCCAAACACAGCCGAGTAGCTAGAACAATGCCTTGCTAGGGAAGCCAAGGATGCAGCTGCTGCTGGCTGTGCTTGGGTTTCTATATTACTCGATTCCTCCTAAAGAGAAGGTAAAACCCTCTGGTCTCTCTGAAGTTACAGCATCCTGCTTTTATGGAATGTATATATATGTAGGTATGTACTTACATACTTGATTTTTTGTTATGATCTGAGGGGAGGATGGTAATTCATATTCCCAGAGGTTTTTAAATACTTTGATAATTTCATACTTAACTGGGGGGATAAAAATCACAATTTGGTCTCCTCACTTATAGGGAGCTAGGCCAGCTCTGCGGTCAACTCTGTGAAAACCTATAGGTCCCTATATTTAAAGCTGGGTCAGCTTCACCCATAGGTTTCTCTGGACTGGAAATCCAATTTCCAACAGCCCTGCAGGGTTATGCTTGGAAATCAGAGGGAATTACCTGGGTTGATCTGTAGCAAAACCAAACCTGGCTTGGAGAACACTTTGATTTTGCAAGGCAGCACTTCTTAGAAAACTATGATTTTCTTGACAGTCTCTATCTTTCCTAGTAAAAACCTGCCTTTCCCATGAGTTGTCACTCCCTGAAGACAAATGGCACATAGAAAGGCTACATGATTTGCTGCAGGCCAAGAAAGAGATAGTACAAGAGTAAGACTTCTGATTTCTTTCTACCATGGCTGCAGCAGTGTCCTCCTATAAATTGTGAGGCAGTGACAGATTCTCCAGACCTCTATTAGACCTGTCTGTCTCTGTGTGTGCCTGAAAAGCCCTCTTACCTCTCCAGGTTCCAGCTAGATTACAATGTCCATGCAGCATGGGATATTCTTAACATTAGTTCTTAGATAATGCCAATCTCTGTCACTTGCACTAAATTTTCTTAAAAATACTGTTTTACCTTCCCAGGACCATGAACCCGTGTCGCATAAGGATGCTGTTTTGGCCCTGAAAGGTTGCTTTAGGTTGGAAATGACCCGTCTGAACCAAAGTACAGGTAATTTGCAGGTTGGGTTTGCTGTATGAAAGCAGGTAATTGTTTGGTACCCAGGAGTGGGGTGGATGGTCGACTTCCTGCATACATCCAGGAGTAATGTACAGAATCCATTAGAGAGATGCCTAATCATCTTAACCTGTCAGATCCAAACCGCCCTCTTTTAAGAGCCAATTTGTTTTCCTGCCAGATCGATGTTCTTATCTGTAATTGCCCAGGCCATGAATGGCACCCAATAACCAGTTAATATTCAATTCCGTTCCATGGCAGGGTGGGGAGCAGGGAAATGTCTTAATTTAAACATTTATTGTACAACTGTGAAAATGTCCTAAGTGAAATTAATTGAAGCTCAGGGAGAATAACTTATAAATCACCTTGTCTGGCTTGCATAAAATGATATAGGGATATGCCGAAGCCTTATCACGGTGCTCAATAAAGCTGAAGAAATCTTTAACCCTAAGGTTGCTGCTGTGATTCTGGCTCCAGCACAGTAGAAATCTGACTCTTACAGGTTATGTAATACAGAGAAGCTTGATCTGATTATTATTAATCTTCAAATTTTAACTGACGCTTTGCGCTTCTCCAACATCTTCCTGCAATGGATTGTGTTAGACAATTTGAAAGTAGTGTTAATATTGTCAGCTATTAATCTCTTATACTTCAGTAGCACTTTAAAGAGGAATAATATTCCCATCAAACAGTGCTTTCCACAGAACAAATATCACCAGAAAATGGAAAACAACCCTAGTGATGTTAGCAGAATGGGATATAAACAATACTGGCTAAAAGACAAAATAGAAACTAGGCAGGCTAATGGGGAATTTGAAGAGCACATAAAGATGCAAACAACTTGCAGAGAATTTTTTGGATTTGCTAGAAAGAGTAGGACTGCAAAGGAAATGCTTGTTAGACTTGTGGAAGGCTAAAAGAACACTTAAGGAAAACAAGGATATTGCAGGCGAATAAAACTCATACTCGACTGTCATTACAGAGGAGAGCAGGGGAGGATGCAGTGAAGAGACAGGGAAGAAATACCAAGAGATGGACAGTGGTCTCAAGTGGGCAGTGTATTTGAAAGAGGATGTTTAAGACAGACCCCAGTAACAACTGCATGATACGGTACCCGTGAAACGCTGCAGCCTCCAGAGAAGGAATTCACGTCTCTATAACAGACATTTGGGAACAGGTCAACAAGCTGCCGAATAAAGGAGAACTGGTTGACATAATTTATATAGACATGCAGAAAGGCTTTGGACAAAGTCCCTAACAAGAGACTACTAAGGAAGCTAAGTAGCTGAGGGGTGACTGGTAAAGTAGTGTCATGGATTAGAAGTGAGTTAAAAGACAACCCCCTGCCCCGAGTAGAGCTAAATGGCCCATTTTTAACATGGAAAAAAATTAGCAGTAGGGTGCCTAAGGCTTTGCACTTGCTAAAATATGTTTACCGGTGAGCTGGAGAAGAAGCGAAAAGTAAGTCAAGAAAGTGTAGAGAGGATTTGAGATGATTTGGGCAAAGCTGGAGATGAGCGAGTGGTTTTAATGGTACCTTAGAAGGAAACCTGAGGGGCAGGATGGAAATTCCCGGCTGATAACTCCAAGGGACTCTCCAGAAGAGTATTTGGACAGCCCGTATCTATCTAAGAGCACCAAAGTTGGTGACTGAGCAGTTTGATGGTGTTGCTAATCAGTCTGCAGCAGCAGCTGAGAAAAACACCAGTGAAGTGGTAGAAGCAGAAAGAACAGCATAGAACACGATATTGAAATTTATAAAGATACTATGTAAGTGCCCCGTGATATTGGTCACTCCTACCCAAGTAGGATGTGGAATAAATAGAAACAGCTGGGAAACGGACAACAGGAATAATTAGGCGCCTGCAGAACTGCTCAAAAGAATAATTTTGTGAAAGGAGAGAGATTGTTCAGGTCAGAGAACGTACGGCAGAATTGGAGTAAATAATGAAAGGAGCGGAGAAGGTGAATTGCAGTACATTGAAAGCGCTCAGAGAGTGGGGTTTTGTACAGTGTACAAAAAACCTGCGGAGCTCTTTGTCTCCTGGCATCACGGAGGCCGGGAATCTGGTGGGACTGAAAAATTCATTGAGTGTTTGTACAGTGAATGGAAACATCTGCAGGAAAATGCTCTGGGGCACTGTTCTTGGGAAAGACTTGGCACTTTGGGGCATAGCTTAAACAGTGACTGAGGAAAGGATCGGGAGAAAACTTTCTCATTAAGGTATTCCCTTGCAGTCCRGTTAGACATAAGTGTGTTCTTTTTCAAAAGAAACATGGTTGTCTGTGTTGGGTTAAAATAACAGGCCAATCATAGTTTTAAATAAATACGGCAATATATGCATTTCTTACAGTATATTATAATTGAGTCCAAATTTTGGTAAAAGTAAGGGTAGTTTAGAAGTGAAATTGAAATTTTCCTAGCTGTGGTATGGCATCATCAACATACTTCTGTACACAGCTGCTTAAGGCAGTAACTAAACAGGTTTATAACCCTCCATTAAAATTTGTTGCATAGGTATATTTGAGTGCTAGCCATAAACGACAGACTGAGGGAAATTATTTATGGGTATTCCTAATGGGAGCAGCGGTACAGGGGGAGACAAAGGCACTCACAGGAATCTCAAATTCTTTTCCTGTTGGGGAGAACTTTGAAAATAATTCAGTTAAAATTTCTTTGAATGAGGTGAACAAGCAGCATTTGCCCAGGTGGAGAAGGGACCTGTCAGCTGGGGTAGAGGGAGCAAACAGGGCCTGGAGGGGACRCCAGGATGGGACAGGGCCTCCTGGCCACCTCCCCGTGTCCCCTCGCCCAGACACCTCTGGGAGCCCAAATTGAAGAGCCCCAACCTTGTTCACGGGAAAGAAAACAAGGTAAAATGAAGTAGCTGAGCCCCACACTTGGGTTGTTAGCAAGGGCTGAAAGTGGGTGACACTGGCAGGAAATCCAACAGCTTCTTGCTACCTTTTCTCGATGTTTACTTCAAGCTTTTCGATAAAAACAATGCTAAAACCGGACTCGGGTAGCAGTATACATCACATTTATTTTGCTATTTTTATGACCAAGATTTGCTACTTTCCTGTAACAGTTTATGGCTAAATTGCTGCTCAGAACRGGACTCTGTAGCAGTCCTATCCACCTTCCCTGTCTGCAAAGCTGTTACTGAATTGAGCTCATAGAAATTCTACTTGCAGGAAAGCAGAATCTGCTTGCTATAGAAAAAGCAGAGCAGGGATAGAAAGAAAGCATGGTATAGGCCAGAAAATGTATTAAATATATTAGATGCAATAGTTTTYCTGTATTCTTCACTGCAAGTGAAAAGAAATGGGGTAAAATAYGTGTGTGTGTGTTGGTATATATATAGTCTCTCAGGGAAATTAGCTGTGTTTTGAGACCAAGATGAGTGCAAAAGGGAAATAAAATGCTGAGCCACCGCACAAATCTCTTGTCTTTCTTTTCTGTGTCAGCTCGTAGGCACAGAGAACAGCATTTCATTTCCTACTGTTGAGGCAGCAGCAACTAAAGCAAATGTTCATATGTGTGCTGAGGCATTTGTCCCGGGAAAAATAACATCTCTCCTTCTATTAACGTTTTAATTAATCCCTTTTAGTTATGAAATGTAACTTTACATTACATAAAAAAAAATTACATGCAGTCTCTTAATCTGCTAATCCTTTCTCCAGACAAGCTGGTTCTTTTTAAATCAACTGCCATTTTATCAACCCAATGGAGCAGAGATCCGGACTCAACTCTATTCAACAATACATTCTTTTCATGAGAGACTGGCCTAGCTAATATGACACCACAAAGGGCTTGAGGAATTCCAAATACCCAGCTCTTTGGATTAAAAGCATAATAATCCCATGCAGTTTTTTGTTCAGAATTGATAGAATGGTTGTATAGTGAGTCACACTTGTTTGAACTTATCAAAGTAACAATATATCAAGCATTTCAGAGGATGATATTTTATTTTCTCAGGTTGATTCGACTTCTTTCAAGCCTTTTCTTTCACTGTGCATTTATGACTGCCAAATGCCCCTGCAGTTAAACAATTAAAATGTATAATCGAGCGCAGATAATCTGATAGCTTTTGTTTTATGACTAGCATTCTATGCGATTTTATATAGATATAAGCATTGTTTTCACTAAAACAGTTGCAGGGGTGCAGCACAGTACCCAGTGTGTACCAGCATAAAAGGAATTTATGCTTCTATAACTTTTTCTCCTGTCGCAGACTTGTCTCTACTCTGTTTTCAGGCTATAGAGCATAGTCAAAATGGGACGGCTTTTGTGTGTCAACAAGTCCTATGGGAAGCAGAAAACAAGGCTGTTAGAAATAGCGGCCCAGTAGCCTTAATAAAATAACACGCAAGTCTGAGCTTTGGAAACCAGGGCAAGGAAGAGGGATATTGCAGAGCAATTGCTGTGATTCCCCTTCTAACAGGGGTCTCATCCTGCAGGGAGTGTGGTGCAGGACAGGACTGGCCTCTTGCAAGATGCTCAATGTGATTTTCATCCTCTCATATCCTTATTCTGCATTCATTTGATGCAGGTTTTGCCTGCAAGCCTCACTATTCCCTCCCACTTTACATTGGATTAAGTGAGAGGAGAATAAGGCCTTAAATTTTCCTTGAGATAGGTTTTATAAGCTTATTAAAAAAGCTATTACTTACAATTGCAAAACAGATAGTGTCTTTTAAGTGAGCCGAGATGTTCATTGCCACATTGCAGTTCTTGCAGGAATTGGTTTTTTTATTACTAGCCAGTTTCTATGTTTTCTGCGAGTGCCAAGAGGACTAAAGTCAAATTTCCTGGCTGTGAGCTAGGAGCTAAGGAGTCTATGTAAGGCCCTGGGTTTCAGCTTGTCCGGGAACAGCACATCCCAAATAGAAATGCTTTCCCTAAGAGAACTGTCATTGGGATGAATTCTCACTGATACATACTCTGTTTTCCCCATTTTCAGCCTTCCTATTTAGGAAACTGCTTTAAAATCACAGTGCACAGGACCTCGCTTTGCAGCTGGTCCTGATGCTRCAGTTCGTCGGGAAGATGGAAGTGCAGGGGGCCCCGGACAAAGTCACGGGTACGCAGAGGGGCTGATGCCCATCCAGGTGGGTAGGGGACCTGCTGCACCCTGCTCACATATCGTCATCCCTGGATGCAGGAGCATAAGCCCAAGCTTAAGCCCAAGGCCAGGGCTGAAGGACCGTGCTTGAGCCATGATCTTCTCGAGGAGAAGCCATTTTTTGTGGGAATGCTGGTGAGTCCCTGCTCGTGTCCCCTTCCAGAGCGCAGAGCTTCCTACATTTTGTTTATGCTTTAGTTTTATTGCCACAACTCCTGCCCCTGAGCTTCCAAACTAAATGCATTCGCAGAAGAGCTGGCTTTGCTTGCCAGGGAATATTTTTCATTTTTACTTTCGACCAACTGCGGAGCTAACCGGAACGTTGTGAAACTTGACTCCCTTGCCAGCGCCTGCTCCGGAAAAGGGGAATTTGGGAAGAATTGGTGGCAGAAATCTTTGCCAGTTTTCCCGTTTCTTCCCTCTCTTTGGGGCCCGACCCYGCAAATGATGAGTCTCCTCGGTCTGGAGGAATAAAAGTGTTAACGAGGAAGCCAATACAGCTCAAACTTGAATTTCTACTGACATGGTGAGCAGGGAGAAGCAGGAACTGCCACAATTTTTCAGGCTGAATTTTAGTACCCCTTTCTTTTGCCAAGTGAATATTGTTTTCATGCCTTTCTGAAGGAGGCTGGGCCCTTCCATCCCCTGCCAGTGCTCACTTAACCAAGCACCTCCTGACGCTACAGCCATAAATAGCAGGGAGGTGGGAATGGCTGGACGTGTTTCCGTGCCCTCTGTTGTGCTCGCATTTTTTAAATACACCAACCTTCCCTTTGCCCCCCTCCTTCATGACGTGTGGTTGTATATAGAATATTTATACTAGTCCCATTTCTAAGCAATTTTCACCACTGCTACACAGCAGGAAGAGATTGAGAAATTGCTGGTTATTTATTTATTTATTTCTCAGGAGAAACAYGCACTTAATCCTGCACAATGTGGGAAAATATGCTCTCTCTATATAGATGGTATGTACTGAAACACATACGTTAGCTAGATGGATGGATGCATGTTTGTGTGTGTGTTTTAAATGCAGACCATATTGATTTCAATGTGGAACTTATAATGACGGGAGATACTCTTATCTCTGCAGGAAATAAAGTGTTTTGGCTAGTATTTATGGGCAAGATGGTGAGCAGCCCGTCTCTCACATTGTTCCTCTGTGCAGGTACGCTAGTGCTGGTTCCGTGCTGGAAAGGAAGGAAGGAAATTGCAGCCCTTTTGTGGAGCCTCCTGCCTTCCCAGGGAGCTAGAGGAGTGTTTTGGGGAGAGGCTGCTGTCTACTCGCCTGGCTTAACCAGCCTTGCCCGGACATCCACTGCTGGCAACTATTAATGGGATATCAGGCTTACTGGCTAATTGTTGTGCAGCCCTATTAGCATTGTCGCCTCTGTGTCACAGGATAGGGGAAGAGGTTTAAGAGGATCAGAGCTCGCGCCAGCCGGACATCAGTGTGGAGGCCAGTGCTGGCTTTGGCAGCCCGGTCTGATGGGGAGTCTGCCGTGGTCCGGCTTTCTCTAGGATATAAAACATGCTTCTGTATGGGCAGCGTGGTCTCTACAGGCCACGTAGACCAATGGCAGTTCTGGCTATCAGGCCCAATGTCCATATAATCTTCTTAGGAGCTAGGCATAAAACTAGTTTTAGCAAAGCATCGTGCTTGTGCGTGTGTTATCCAAATGATGGGCTGTGTTATGGTCGCAACCCTGTCCTTTCAGCCCGTACACAAGGTTCAGCAGGAGCCAGGAGCTGAGGCTCAGAGTTTAAGAGCATGGCAAGTCCTGGATGCCTTCATAGATATTGAATATGCTGGTAGTTTCTGTCAATCTCTAGCTTGGTTCTTGGTATCTCAGGACTCAGGTGGACTTTTCTTCCCTGCATTTGAGTAAGTATTTTTCAAAACCCTCRTTTTCAAAGGACTTGTAACACCCTGCAGCACAAAGTCCCATTCAATCCTGTGCTGCAGGAGGCCTGGACTGGATTTTATACCTTTCCCTAGTTCCAAGTGGAAATTCTCAGGGACTGGGACTTCCCTGCTGCCCCAAGGACGTGCAATACACAAGGGGTTGATAGCAGATTGGGGGCTGTTTTTCCCGATTGCRTTTGACAAGCCCTGTCCCTCGGCTTAAGGAAATGAAAAAGAGCAAGCACCTATCTCAGCCCCCTTTTTCTTCCATCGGTATCAAGCACCATCTTAAGGGAAGCACTATTATTTGAAAGGATTAGAGCCGAAGGAATGTGCACGGGCCATGAGGAGTATTGAAGCACAGTGGGTGATACCAGCAGCATCTGTGATCTAAGGAGCGCTGGGGACGGCGCCGGGGAATGCGTGGCCGTCACAGCAGCAGCGCCAGGCGCACATGTGGGTGCCAGCGGGTGCTGCGGAGCACGCGGGGCCATCGAGGTGGGCGCCGAGACATGCACCGAGCGATAGGAACCGTGCCCATGTGCAGCGAGCTGGGGGCCGGGAGCGGGCTGAGGGAATTAAAGCGTGGCTTAAGCTCCCAGTATGTTTTGCTCTCACTTGTGAAGTATCTGGCTCATGCTGTTCCCCTCTTAATCTGTCAGTGACAGTTAATAGCTGATCAGAGCGGTACTTTAATGAGTCAGCCAGATTGTTTGCATAAACAGTTGCTAGGCGGCTGTAACCAACAGCATGGTGAGATCCAGTTCCCCCTGCACGGCTTCCACCTGCATCCCCCCGCTGGCTTTCTGCACCTGAGTGTTTGCAAAAACATATTTACATAAGCACAGCATCCTTTGCCTTGCCCGGCCCTTCCCCTCCCTCCCCGGGGCTGGGTTTTGCAGCTCGCGCGCTGCAGGATGTGACTTCAGGTGTAATAATTCACAACTCGAGCTCTAGCTGAGCACCGCCTCCTGCAACTAGGTGTGAATTATTAAGCTCTGCTTCTCACCTCGGAGAGCCTTTATCAAGATTATAGTAATAAAGGCAGTACAAGAAGAGGTAAGTGTGGAGCCCAACTTAGGAGATCAAATTCAAATGCTTTGCAATGCACATTGACGTATTTACAACTTAAACATTTCACTTTGAAGTGATTTCAGGCATTTCATATCASCACAGCAGTTCTGTCTGCAAAACAAATGTTTGCAGTCTCAGTTATTAATTAATATTATGAGGGATCCAAGCAGCCCAAGACCTAGAGCAATATGGGTCCTGGTCCAAATATGATTTCTTTGGTCTTGTCTCAGCACCGTTAAAAGCACTATTAATGATGACTTTCCATTTGTGCAGTGCCTTTCTCTGTGACATTCTGAAAGCCTTTGATAAAAATTCATTAACCCATAATGCAGATCTGTCAAAGAGAGAAAGAGAACCCATGACTCTTGATAGTTTTGCTTTGCATGAATATTCCAGCAGAACGACTCCCAGGTTGCAAGTTATGAGGGTGATGCCATTCTTGAAAGCATCTGAAATCTGCTCCGATACTCAGTACCAAGACTACTGGACTGTGTCTGACTGAAATGTCAGATACAGGTGGACAAGTCTGCAGAATTTCTCTCTGCAATGTTTCTTCTGTACTCATTTTGGTGAWCCTAGGTTTTAGAGGTGTTATGAGTTTAAAGAGCATTTAAAGTACCCAAGATGTTTCCATAGCTGCAGTTTGCAGATAAGGGATATGCTTAAAAATGGTGGGTGCAGTGATGTATTAAGTGATGAAGAAAAAAGGAAATTTCTTTCAACTAAAGGAAATTCTGAGCACTGAAGGGAGCACACATGTTTTGAGCAAGTGTTTATTGGATGATATGCTGTCCTTAGAAGCTGTACTCAGATCAGCTGAGCTTGCTGAGGTGGAGGGGGCTTTGCAAGGTGCAGGTTCATGGGAGCTTTTAAAAGGGCTGATAAGGGCTCGTGGATGAGTCTCCTGGGGAAATGACAGCATCTGAGCACTCCTGCTGAGCACCCGGCCGCCCTATGCCCAGGTAGGACTTTCTTGGTTCTTTTAAAGCAGTTTTGTCCAGTGTTGTTATCAAATGTGCTTATGTAAACATTCTGGAAGTTGTTCCCTTAAGTGAAACCAGGTGCTTGAGTGTTTTCTTTGCTTCGGTGCCTTAGTTAAGACTCCTTGGTCTCGAGGAGAGTCGGAATAGGAGATGGAGGTGCTGGGAGTGTGGTCCTGTGGTGCGTTCCCTGCGTCGGCTGCCGTCCCCTTCGCTCTTTGGCTGTCTTCGACTGTCTTTGGGCACGTTGTTCCTTCAGCTGGGAGAGGTTTTCTCGGTTTGCTTGGTTTTGGGCCTGAATTGCACCAGTGCCTCTTTGATTAATGAAGTTTATTCTAATAGTCCCCAGAGATCTGTCTGGAACAGGTTTTGCCTAGCACTGCACAGGCAGAGTAAAAGCCCTGTTTCCAGCCTATTTCCCAGGCAAGGAGGAACTTTTTTTTTTGCTAGGCTCTTCATTCCCAAATTATCAGGCTGGTGTTTTTCTTTTTGTACTCACTTGAAATTAGTCTGGATTAGCAGAACACTGAAGCCTGTTTTCCAGCAGCACTTCTCCGTGCAGATTTGCAGGTGTGGATAAATAGTAAATCTAGCCTTTCTCACGGTTGAGATATTAAGAGAATTGCTCACCTTTTTCTGGCCTCTATTTTGGTGGAAATTGTATGAAATTAAGAGATGCTTAAAACCTTTACGCCATCTTTGAGATTTTTTGGTATTGGCCAAGAAGTTCAAGGTTTGGGAAGAGGTGGGATAGCACAGACTCATTATTTCAGTGTTGGTCTCTTTTAAAGACTATTTGCTTTAATTTTCAATGTTTGTTCATTGTTCAAGAATGGAATATGTTAAATAACTCAACTGTATATCATGTTTCCGGCACCTCACTTTTGTTGTTGTTATTAGGGGTGGTAACATATTAATTATAGTTCCAGGTGCAATAGCATCTCCCAACCTTTTCCTTGTTGCAGTTCCTTACTGAGAGGTATTTTTAGACAGAGGTATTAACAAATCAGGGTCGTGCAAGCGGCTAGGGGCAGGGCTAAAAGGGCACTTGGCTCTCTTGATGCTCAAGCTAATGTTGAGACCTCCAGATTGGGCTGCCCTTCCCATGAGTGCTCCCTTGTTGCAATCGCCCGCAGTCACGCTTCTGCTCTCTCCTTCACACATGCTTCT